ATTCTAGCTTGTCAATATCAGTAATTTGAGTTTCTAATTCATATGAAACTACAGACTTAGTATTTTGACTTCAGAAACATCTTGTTTGAATCAGTGCTGCGTTCAACATACTATGTGTCACACAAAAATCAATGTTTATCTTTTTTTTAATATTTGGTTTTAAATTAAGAAATTGAGTAACATATACTACTAAAATTTGAATTATAATCTACAGTTTGATACCAAAGTTATTGACATAACTTCATGAAATAGTAGCTGAATAAAATTTTGAATGCGAGTCAACAAATGAGATGACATGGCCTTTCACTCGTGACCCATCTCGAAAGGGTTAGAAAAAAACATACACACCACCAAAATGTTATGTAGCGTCTACTTCTATGCATTGGAGCAGATCATTATGGTACAACATTGCTTCAATACATTGTAATGGATGCCACGTGTACAAGACATTCAAGAATGTTATTGTAAACAAAGGATGCTTTTAACAGCCTCATTTCTATTCTTAACTATTTTTATAGTTGAATGCTTGTATTTATTTTTAACTGAAGAATTGCTCTTACTCTTGTCTGTTTTGCTGTTTATTCATAACTATTATTTATTCATGTAGTTAATCTAATGTCACACATTACATCAAATATAATTGTATAAAAAACATGCATTTGTTATTTGCCATTGAAATAAAGTACAATTGCTGTTCTGTGTAATATATTTCTTAAACTACATGTGAATGTTTTACTTCGTTTATGTGGATTACCTGGAAATTACAAAGGTTTCCAATCAAATATAAACTAGTAGTTATGATAACATTATCAGTAAATTATGCAAATTTTTACTTAAAAGGTTTGAATCTTTGTTTAGTAATGTGTATTAAAACTTCAAATGTTAAAATCTACCCTTAAAAACAGCCCTATAAGTATTACCAGTAATTATATTAAGTGACTATCTGTATTTCTTTCTTTTGTTTTTAGATATGCCATTATTATAAAGCTATATTGCAAGTTTAAAAAACAAGCTATAGGTTGCATGAGATTGAAGAATATTATAATATGGAGTAATGTAACATCACTCACCTATAAAGGTTTCAGTGAATGAAGAGCAGAGTCCTATTAAAGTCTTGAATTATATATATATCTGTGTGTCTGTATAATGTGTAGAAGGTAATAATTATAAGGCTATGACACAGTAAATACCATTTTTTATTGTTTGGGCTGAACATTTGGTCATTTTGCAGTCTGTTAGTAGAGGTGTAATTCCAAGACTCATCTGTTAGCAGAGGGTGAGTTTGGGGCCTAAAAATTGATAGTAAACTTTGGGTAATACTTGGGTACTTATGATATCTAAAATAGGTTTAAGATTTTCTTCACTTTTTTTTTTTACTGATCAGAAAATAAGTGGCCAATTGACTGGTTATTTAACATTATTTGACTGATCAATTGAATGATTTCTTGAACTTTGTTAAGCTATAAAAATACTTTATCAGAAGACTTAACTGTGGTTGCTTTATAAGTCAGTATTAAAGATATCATCATGATTTATTGAGTTCAACTATATTTAAAATTTTTTTCTTTAGCCAGTGAAAGTGTTGGTAAGCTTGAACCTGGGATGGAAGATAGTGGGTATCAAATGGATAATTCTGGAGATGAAGATGACTTTGAGGATGAAGATGTTGCCGAAGGTACCAGTGGACCCAGTGGGGATCAGCTGAATGCACGAAGGATGTTAAGTGGTAGAGGAGTCACACTGATGATGTTAATAAATGAAGGCATAATTGAAACTGGTGATGGTGTGTTGACTATTGACTATTTGGTAAGATTATTTCTTAATTCTAAAGACAACACAATTATAGTAATTTACCTAGTAAAAACATAGTGTTACCACTCATAAAAACTGATCATTATTATGTCATATATATATAATTAATGTGTACACAGTAAAATCCCGGGGACAAATTCAAAGAAAAAATATATAGTGTACAGTGCTGCTGACAAAGACATGTTGCAATATAAAAGACAAAAAAAATCAATCTGGAACAGAATACAGTGGATGCCATATATAATGTGGACAAAAATTTTATTATATATTGTAATGTTGAAAGTTATAATGAACTGCTTCTACTTTATTGCCAAAGTGAGCTGATGTTTTGGTATCTTAGCTGAGGCCTTCTGTAGTACACTGTGTCTTCTTTGTGTTAGAAGTATGAATTTCTACCAGAGCTGTCATATGTGTTCTGATGAATGTTGTCATCTGTTGTATTTTAGAACTGTATCTGTCCATAGGATGTTCATAAGGTGACATCATTATGGCTTTGTTGTCTGAAGAGATTGAATTTCCAAATGGCTCTGATTTTAAGGCTTTATCTCAGTTGAAAACTGATGTATTTGGATGTGAAAGGACTTGTTTTTTTTTTTTCTTTCTTTTTATTTATTTAGTAATACTTGGCTGTGTCCAGGATTTATATACATAATGGCTGTGAAAACAACCATTCACATAATAAAATTTTTGTCCATATTATATATGGCATCCACTGTATTCTGTCCCAGATTGTTTTTTTTTTTCTTTTATATTGCAACAACTCTTTGTCAGCAGCACTGTACACTATATATTTTTTCTTTGAATTTGTCCCCAGGATTTTACTGTGTACATATTAATTGTAAGCATTTTCTATCACAGAACATTTTGAAACTAATTTTTTAATTAACCTTTTTTGTGTTTAAATTCTAGATGAAATGTTAATATACTAAAATCTATATATAACTGCTTAATTTCCTGAAGGACTTATGTTGGCCAGTGTTGTTCACTGTTATTTTTACCACAAAACTTAGAATCTTGACTTTCAGTTCTTTCTGTGAGATAGCTATAAGGTATTAAAGTAGTAATTTTGTTAAATAAAGTTATTGTTTTACACAAGAAAAAAAAAGGAAAAGTACCAAAACAATAGGAAATTACTGATCTTGTTTTTCATTATTTTTTTGTGTGTGGCAGAACAGTTATTGTTGACATTTTTTATTGTTGCAGGAATTACTTCATAAAAGGTAGTACAGTTTTGCCAATTTTTATTAATATGCAGCTCATCCTTTCCTTTTGATACAGTACAGTTGTTCTTCATTTTAGATGTTATTTTATTGCATTACTGAAGGCTTGTAACTGTAAAAAAGTAAAATTTATTGTTCTACCAGTAAGAGAGAAAAATGTATAACTCATTGATTACCAAAAATATGTATTTTTTTCCTTTAACATTGTTAATGACATCATACATTACACTTGATAACTGACTGTTGCTTGTGTGCCCTACAAGGATGTTAACTAAAATATGTATTTTTTTCCTTTAACATTGTTAATGACATCATACATTATACTTGATAACTGACTGTTGCATGTGTGCCCTTCAAGGATGTTAACTGTGTTAAAGACCAAAATAGAGCTAATTGTTTAACATCTTATATATATGTAAGAATAATTAAGCCTGTTTCCTGTAAATACAGTTAAGTAAGCAAAGATATTAATGTAGTTATCCATTGTAAGTTAAGACCATCATAGTCTATCTGTTCTCAGAACTGGTAATAGAATTTACTGTAAATTATTTTCACAATGTACAAGAGTTTCAGTGCCGTAACAGAAGCCCTGTGAACAGTAACTAGACCATATCTGGACTGAGTCTGTTTATAATCTACTTACTGTAGTTACAGGCAAAATAGTCACTGTAGCATTTACTTTAAGTGTGCAGAAATAATTTTTTTAATACTGTTTTGCACCATACACCTAATATATGGAAATTTTAAGATTTAAAGGTTATATTTTTTTAGTGTTTTCTCATTGAGACACAAATTCTACAATATGTGTATTTATTTTACTGTATTCTTTATAATTATTTAAAGGGGAGCAAGTTTGTTGGTGACTTGTTACCAGGTGGGAAAATCCGTTGGCAGGACTCAAAAGAAATATTTTCTTCTCCCAGTGCTTGGGCAACTCACTGTAAGAAAATACTTAATCCTGAGAAAAAGTCAGGATGTGGATGGTCAACTGTAAGTTCTATTTGTAATGTTTTAATGAAAGTTTAATTTAGAGCTGTGATATTAGTAGAATTTGTTAGTGGATTAATCATAGGACTCGTTAATTGATAGAATCCAATTGATTATTTTCATGAGATGGCTATAAAAACAAAACATTTAATACATTGATTATTCTTCAGTAACATGGCTAGAAACAAGTAAATCATAATGCTAAAAATTGGGTTTTGATACTTGATGTGGGCAGAGCACAGAAAGACAATTGTGTAGCTTTATGTTAACGATAAGCAAACACAATGGGAATATTCTGATTACTTAGATAGTTGAAATAATCAAAAATAGTTGATTATTTTCTTGAGTTATGATACTAATAGATTAAGTTGAACAAATTTGAATTAATCAAAAATAATGATAAATCATAATGTCAATATTTCAAATACTTGATTGTCTCTGTGACATTTATCATAATTTTGATTGCTGGATAGTTGGAATAATGTGAGACCCTAATTTTGATTAGTTGGTTATTTTTGTAACATAATTGCAATTTCAATTAATGAATAGTTGGAATAACCAAAAACAGTAACAATTGGAAACACTAGTTGAATATTTTTGTAATATTAATTGATTCAATTGTAATTTTGGTTAATTGATTATCTTATGTGACACTAATAAATGCTCATAGGTAATCAGTTATATTTGTTATTTGAGTTAATCACCAAGCTGTAATATTTATTGTGTAGTTATTAAATTGAGAGGATGAATCTTAACTATTGTATAATTGTTTTTTAAATTCTGAGAAAATATTTAAGAAGTTTATTTTTGTTGGCCTCTTCACTCCTAGAGAAATTGGGAAAAGGACCTATTTTTTCTTTTTTTTTTTTTTTTTTTTTTTT